GAGGTGAAGGTTGTCCCGTGTGATGACAAAGTGGGCTGTCCTGATGGCACCACCTGCTGTAAAACCCAACAAGGTTCTTGGGGTTGTTGTCCTCTGCCACAGGTAACGTTTTATTCACTATTGTTTTTTCATGTTCTGTCCATTTTTTCAGTTATTTTTTCCAAATAATCAAATCTAGCTGCATTATGAAACGTCTCTGAAATAGCACAAAGTACAGAAAAGTGCTTAAATATATGGAAAAATAACCAATTTAAAAAACAGTAGTGATGTCCTACATAAAGCATAAGTCTATAAAACAATAAAAATGAAAAGATTTTTATTTCATGGTGCAGGTGTAGAAAATGCTTTTAAGTAATTAAACAGTGAAGCTTGAGGTTTTCAGATAATGACTCAGCACGTTCTGATGCCAGTAAAACCTGCTGTAACTAAAGGTCCCTCTGTCCCGTCCTGTCCCTCTGTCCCGTCCTGTCCCTCTGTCTCGTCCTGTCCCTCTGTCCCGTCTTGTCCCTCTGTCCCGTCCTGTCCCTCTGTCCTCCCTGCAGGCGGTGTGCTGCAGTGACAGGATCCACTGCTGTCCCCACGGCAGCTCCTGCACCGGTCAGGGCAGCTGTATCCGGAACTCCAAGCTGAACTGGTCCAACTGGAACTGGGTCTTGGGCAACAAGAAGAAAACTCAAATTCTGTGAAAACTTTGTTTGTTTCTAAATAAAGGAAAACGAACAAACAAACAAAAAACAATTAAGAAAATCACGTTTAAATTCTCTGTTGCTTTTAAAGTCAGGTAAATGATGGGATGTTTTCTGATTCTGAGTTGCACTTAAAGGATTTTGATTGTGATCCTGGGATTAAAGGTTTCTATCTGCACTAAAATGTACATCTTTTGTACGTTATGAGAGTAAATCGTTTTGCACACGTTTTATTACTTGAAACTTTTACTCRTTTAAGAATAAACTCTAAATGAACATTATTTTTTGCTGAAAATAATTGGTTTTATGTTCATACAGTACTTTTGTTATTCATAATCAGCCGTTTTATATATGATTTTAAATTTGACACACTGAGATTTATTCTTTTTTTTACCTAATGTATGAGCGGTGATGTTTCTTATTTGAATCATAAATCAGTTCAAGGCATAAAGTCTAATCAATAAACATTTAATGAACTTATATAACCATGAATATTTGTTTTTCTTCACAGCAAAAAGCAAGAAACTAAAAGGTGCTTTATCATTTAGGCTCCACCTGAAGTTATATTTGGATCTTTAACCCAGCAGGCTTTTGAAAATATGACATTTTTCATATTCTTTGCTTTGATAACAATCAGGTTATGTCAGAAAATTAAACCTTTATGAAACATTGTTTGTTTCCAGTCCAGATTTTTTTTGCATTGAATCTGTTTTATTTTCTTAAACTGGCCTACAACATATTAATATAAACTGTGTGCACAATTGTTAGGCAAGTTGTAGTTTTGAGGATTAATTTTATTGTTGAACAAGTAGAGTACTCTCGGTCAATCCGAACCTCAAACCTGAATATTTAAGAAAGTAAAAGTGAGATTCTGGCTTTTTTAGGACAATWTCTGTGTGTGCAGAATAATTTTGCAACTAAATTAAAAATTAAAATGTTCCCATCTTACTTGTTTATTGTCATCCAGGGTGTTGATCTCCTCAGGCCCTGCTCTCCCTCATTACACAAATACACATCAGATGATACTCTTATCCAATAAGCATTCAAGTTTAGGCAGCTTGGAGTTGGAAAATATGCATAAAAATGATGACATGATCAAAACTACAACTTGTCTAATAATTGTGCACACAGTATATTTTTAGTATTCCACAAATTTTTTAGTTTTGTGCCTATTTAACAACCAACTACTCAGTAAAATGTTAATTTTAATGTTTAAATTTGCAACATTTACTGACTAATTAAGAAGGTGTCAGAATAAAACTTGAAGAAAAGATTTGATCAGACTTTCTGTATTTGTTGGTTTATTGGAGTAACACAATCTTAATTATTAGGATTTGGGAGAAACTACTTCTTTTGTAATTGTCTGAAATTTTGGGATCAACAAACCAGCAGGTGGGGGTATAATTATTCAGAACTACCACAGGTTCAGGTTTTTATTATTTCAAAGCTTGTAACTGAAAAAAGACACAAATAGTTTCTTGAATTCTTGTTATAAGGGTGGGAAATGTTTTGGTTCACATTATTTAATTCTTAAAAACTGTTTAATTTATCACAACTCAAAATAATTCATATAACCTCAACACAATTCTCCACAGTACCCACCCACAAATACCTGTGGTCTGGTTTTTCTGGGTTTTTCTAACAGCTAAACATGGTGGGGGTGTCACGGACAGAAAACCTTTGAATATCAATATTTACAAACTGTAAATGTGACATTTCAGGGCTGTCTGCTCCAGCTGCCAGCAGGTGGCGGTAGAGTTCAGGTTTACAGATTTATGTGAATCACAGTCATTATTTTCTGTGGAAACAAAACCAAACAAAAAAAAAAA